AAGTGTGGACTTTGGCGCGCGTAGTTCTGAGAGGAGTATAAGAAGCAGAGTACAGAAGTGTCAGACACTTGAAATCAATAACTCTAAATAAATATGACAGGAATTCTCATCCAACTTTAGGATATTATCAAATAGATCCTAGGGAACGCCCTTATACTAAAAATTTTCAAACTTTACTTATTTTACTTTGTCATTTTTATTATCAATGTTGTTGTTGCAAATTATATATATATCACTATTCTAGGCCAAAATCTAATGTTCTAATATAAAAAAGAAAAAATGTTTTTTCATAGCCTGAAACTAGAGATTATCATGTACATTATAGTTGAGTATTAAATCATTTAATGCTCAATTGGATCCATTGTTTAAATTTCAATTCCACTGGTCAGATTTTAAGAGGTGTCCTATAATTAGTAAGTGTTCCAACATCAGGTCAAATATGTTATACCATTCCCAATAGTGATTATCTGATCTTCAAAGTTATTAGCCTTATGGTCTAGTTCTCAAGTTGAGCTGAGTTGGCCCCAATTGTTTCCCTTATCAATAAAATAATCAGTTTCATCTGCAGGTTGTATTTGTAGAAATAGTCGCAATTTCAACCTTCCTAGGTTGTCTGACATTTAACCTCCAGAACTCTGAATCCAACTGATAGATATCTTCTGGATGAATTCCAACCAATTTGCAGGAAGCTATTCTACCAGATTGGCAGATAATCCCTAAGTCAGCAACCTGTTAGGAATACTGGGATCTGATACCTAGGAGTTACACTAAGTAGGGTAACCTCACACAGAATCGGAATCTCTTGTCTCCAACACCCTACTCTAACACCCTTATAGGACCTGTACATCATCATACATATTAATCTCAGTTACGTCCTGTGACTATAATGCTACAAAATTGAAGGTGTAAGAATAATACTGTATATGTTGCTGCTGTCTATTCGACTGGATCTCATTCACAGGATATAAGAGAAGAAACCTTCAGCTAGGTCTGAGAATTGGAATAGAGTAAATCCGTCAACTACTCTGAGAGTTATTAAGCTTCAAATATGTGATATATTTGGCATAGACTGTAGGTAACAGGATGTTTTTGCATAAAGAGATGGTATCGAATAGTAAGAGATCTTAGTGAGAGACCAATACATTCACATTCATCTTACAATATCCAGAAGAGTCTAGAACTCTGAGGGACATTACCATAGAAGCTATTGGACTTCACGGAGTGTTGCAACTAGGTTTCAGAATACATTGTAGTTATAAGAATAACTTCTAAATACTACAACAGTGATTGAAACCCTGTTAGCCAGAGCAATCAACAGTTGCCGACCCAGAGAATATTGGTCAATCCAGTAGAATAGCTTTCTGCAAATTAGTAGGAAGTCCTCTGCAAGACATCTATCAGTTGGGTAAGGAGTTATGGAGGTTTAAAGTCAGGCAACCTGAAAAAAGGTTGCAATTACAACTATCTGCAAAGATGAAACCCGCAGATGAAACTGATTATTTCATTAATAATGGAGACAATTGGAACTTACTCAGTTCAATTTGAAAACTAGACTATAAGTCTAAAGATTCTAATAATCGGATAACTATTATTAGGAATATTATGGTTCTGAGTTAGTTATATTGTAATTGCCAAAGAGGATGTGGTGATTTTCAGGGTCTCCAGGTATTCGCACCTTTCAAGAATACCTGACATTACAAGTTATAATCAGAGAGGTACATAGTTGTATGATAAATAGATATAGTTCGCAAATACTCAGATGCAGAATATAAATATCGAAGTGCCTCCCAAGCTTTAGACATCATCAAGCAATGGAGAAGAGACCATAATAATATAATATTGTTTTACAATCCTATTTTACTTTACCAAATTTACTTCGCTCTTAGTAGTCATAAACGAAACGAGTACACTCAAGTCTTCCTAGGCAATCTCCATCTATAAAAATGAATCTTGATTGGCCTAGACAATTCTGAAGTCTGTCAGATTGTCTCCGCCTAACACAACCCTTGATTGCTCTGGATAACAGGGTTTCAGTCATTGTTCTAGTATTGGAAATTATTCCTACCACTACAATGCACTCCTGAGCCCAGTTGTAACACTCCATGAAGTCCATTAGCTTGTGTGGTAGTGTTTCTTAAAGTTCCAGACTCTTCTAGTTATCATAGAGTGGGTGTGAATGTATTGGTCTCTTGTAAAGATTCTTTAACATTCGATACCATATTTTTTTGCAAAAATATCCCATTACTAGCGGCCCTTGCCAAAGTTGTCACAACTTCGAAGCCTAGTAACTCTCTGAGTAGTTGACAGATTCACTCCATTCTACTTCCCAGACTTAGCTGAAAGTCTCCTCTCATATCAGGCATAGCGGTTTGGCTTACGTAGATTGAGTCGAGC